GAGGCCAGGACCCACCTTTCATGCAGGGACCAAGAAATGAGGTGTCTGAGCCATGATCACAGTCATATGGAAAGAAAAGGGGGCAAAGAGGCAAACTCTAGGGTGCAGCAGCAGGGCAGGTAAGTGCAGCAAGGCAGCAGGCAGTGGTGCATCCGCACACCCGGATCTGGCCCTTCCGGAACCAACTGGTGATAATTTTCAACAGATAGTTAAATTTTAAGCACAAATATTTGTGATTTTTCCTTTGCAGCCCTGGTGCAGGGCAGTCCATGGTTGATGGCACGAGCGGACTCCTGGCGAGCTGTGCCACCACTGGGCTGAGCTTTGGGCACCATTCCCAAAGGGTGTCCCATAGGGAGAGGCTGGAAAGCAGCAGAACAAAGCGAGACGACAGGCTGATGTCCTGTTGTGAGGGAGTCAGGGGGGCAAAACCGACCTTCCCGCAACTTGCACCTTGACTTCCGGGGCTGGATGCAACTGCAGCCCAGGTGATCCAAAATTCATCCCACCAATCCCCTCAGTCAGGCTGCAGAGGGAGGAACAGCACCATCGGTGCCTCGGGATCTCCATGGGAACCAGATGAGAGAGGGGAAAAGTGAAATAGGAGAGCAGGGAGCAGACCAGAACAAGCAGCAGGGAATGGGGAGGGGATGGTGGTGGGGGGAGTCTGTCTGTCTGTGTACCTGAGACGACCCACCATGAGCAATAACGGGCTTGCTGCAGAGCCTGCTGCACTGGGGAAGGAAACGAGCGAAGTACAGAGCGTGTGGTGGAGGGAACGGCGTGTTGCCTCACAGCAGATTAAAGCTGGCAGCAGTATTTTCAGAGCAAGCTTGCGGGGAAGAGCAAAAGCAGGCACGAAGAGCTCGCTCTTTCCACGGGTTTTGTGGGCAGCAAAAGAGCAGCGTGAGCAAAGCAGGGAGGCAAGGGTTGCTTCTCCACACCCATTCCCTTCCACCCTTCCTGCCCCCTGGGGTACTGTGGTAGGAAGATACCCCCAGCAGTGTCATCTCCTCCCCCTTCTCTCGAACCATTGCCTGGGGTTCTCTGAGCAGTTGTGGCTTTCACCCAGGCTGGGTGAGCTACTGGGGGTGCCAGCAAGCCACTGAGCCCACCCAAAACCTCATTGTCCACTGCTGAGGGGTTCATCCCTTTGCTTGGTGGCAAAGCAGGTGCTATAGGGCAGGAGCATAGGGTTCATGGCAGGCCAGGGGAAGGACCAGCAGTGGGCTGGCCAAGCACCACTCACAGGCATCAGCTCTGCACCCTGCAGGTGACTGTCTGCTGTCCCATGACAGCACCACATTCCTGCTGCCCAAGAACCATGTGGCAGCATTCCCATGCTGCTGAGGGGAAGAGTTTGTGCTCTCCACCAAGGGTAGCCCCCATCCTCCAGGACATCTCCTCTCCTGCCTGCTGATGTGTCTTGGGCAAGCACAGATTTAGCCTGGGTCTCTGCCTCTGCCCATCTCTTCTTTATCTTCCCATCCGTTCTGCTTGGCAGCTCCTTTTTAGCTCAGGCAATGCAACCCACTGTGGTGCCAGGGGTGTTGCTGCCATCCTCTGCCCTGATGACTTTGGAGGAGGAAGCCTGCCAGAAACAGTGCAGATCTCCCTCCCCGCATGGGTGCTCTCCTCCTGGAAGCTCAGCTCTCTGCCTGTACTGATATTGCTCCAGCTCACACAACACCAGTGCTGCTTGGCTCATCTTCGCATCAGCTTTGCCAACAATTTGTTGCCAGAGACCACTTTGGGGTGCTTCTTCTACCCCTTCTGGGGTAAAGGTTTGACTTGATGATCTTAAAACGTCTTTTCCTACCTACCTGGTTCTATGATTCATTAGAAACTAGCGGGAGAGGGATGATGGATGCTGGTGCCTTTGCTTGCCTACACACAGAGATGCAGACAGCTACTCCAGTCTCCCCTCTCTAAGGTGTATTTTCCCATATGGGAATCGTCACTCCTGATCTGATCACAGTGGTGGGAGCTCCCAGTGCTCCCCTACAAGGGGTACATGTACATGACCACCCAAACCAGTTGCAAAGCTTCCTCATCCCAATCCAGACATCTGCATCTCCACAGATAGGCCCTCCCTATACAACTGGGGCAGGAGGACGCAATCATGCGGTTTCAATGGTGTGCTGCTACAAGCCTGGCAAACTGGTTGAGACTTCAGCCATTTCTCTCAGTAAACAGACACCTTTCAAGCAGCAGGCTCCTGAGGGTCATTTGTTTAATCTACAGCCCATTGCATGATTTTGACAGCGAAACTTCCACCCATTCCCTGCTACTCCCACATAACCCAACGTACTATCTCAGCCCCACGTCGTCCTGATTTTGGCATTTTAATGCAAGAGCAGCAAGGGATTTAGTGCAGGAGGCACAGCACCTGGAGCTCATTGTCTCCTTTCCAAAAGGAAGAGAAGGAAGCCACTGTCCGGTCATTCTGGCCTGCCTGGAGCACTCTCCACCAGGCCCTGCTCAGTGATGAGTCTTGCCTCAGCCGACAAACCCATGGAAAGCATCACGAATATCAAAACTGCCTTCTGCTCACAGCAGGTCTACCAGTGATTTGTTTTTCTCCGAGCCAGGCAGCTGCAGGAATCGCTGCTCTCTGCAGTTTTAGCTGTCATTTTCTCCTGATTTTATTTTGGGGTCCACAGTTCAGATGCATCTTCCATTTATAGGACAGGCAAACAGCACAGGCACGATCGTCATTTCTCCCCTGCACACCTACATTCCCCCCAGGATGCTTAGAAACGTGTCCAATTCCTCCTGCCACCCCGAAAAGCTCTCTGTATTTTGCAAGAAGGGGATGCTGTAGATGAAAAAAAAACAACAGAAAAAGGCTTTGGATAGGAATGGTCTTAACTCCTCCCACCAGCACCACATTCTGCAGAGGTGGAGGCTGGACTGTAAGAGTCAGGATAGTGCAATGCCAGCCTGAGCGAGCAGCCATGCCCCGAGGAAATGGGGCACTTCATGCCTTTGGATGAAGTAGATTCCTCTTACCTTCACTTGATGCTGCCTGTGCTGTGGAGCTTCTCTCCTCAGTCATTTGCTGAAGCTATTCCTCCTCCCCCCAGACACAACCATTACTGTGCCATGGGCCATCACAGAGCCTAGGCCTTCTGGGATGGGGGAAGCAGTAGCAGAGCCATCTCAATGGGCAGCAGCTGAAAAGGGATTTTCTTTCCTGGGACTGTCAGCAATTGCTGCTTTACAGTTCATATTTTTCCATTTGGGAAAACCAGGTTTGGGACAGATGCTACAACAGCAATCTCAAATCAAAGTAGTTAGGAAGGGCTTTACGCACTGTAGCAGAACACATGTTCAAAGGGTATGGGGGGAAGAGCGCCTGTAGCTGCTGTTCGGAGTGATCATGAAAAAAAGCAATTAAAAATACAAAAAAACCCCCATCTTCTTGCAAGCACAGCCTCAAGCAAATGCACATGAAACCACAAAGGAGAGGGAAATGCCTGCACTGATGTGTCTGTCCCCAGCCAAAAAACTATGAACAGGGTAATATGGACAGACTAAAGGGAGACAAACCAGAAGGATGGAGCTGGACCCAGAACAAAGTTCTCAAGGAATTAAACTCCCCGATCCATGAGCATCTGGATTCCAGGTCCTGAAAAATCCAATACTGCAAACAAAACGGGCAATCGTAAACAGGGACATCTGGCTTTCTGCTCGGCTGGACAGGACGTTAAATGGGAGTTCACATTTCAGGGAATGGCATTTAACCTGGATGTCCCACTGCCTGGATGAATGCTCTGACCACTGCTGAGGTCATCTTCCCCCTCCTCTTCTGTTCCATTCCTGCCTCCATCACCAAAACTACCTCGCAAACTCAGGATGAGCTTTTTATCCACTAAATCTGGTAAATGAGCTATCTGGCTATAAACTCTCCTGATTTCAGTTGTTCCTCTTTCCTTCTTCAAGCTGGAAAACAGCAAATCTGACTCCAGCTGATAAAATAATCCCAACACTTGCCTGCTGCAGATTAAAGGAAGCCCCATAATTACTGAAAAACTTGCAACTTTTGCTTCCATCAGTGACCATCTTTATTCCCTGTCACTGTTTAACACCAGCTATCAAACTTCCCATCCTCAATAACTAGCAAAAAAGTGGGGACCCAAAGGTGGCATCATGAACAGCCAATGAAAGAAATGCACTGCATCTATAGCTGCCAACACGAAGGGATGCAGCGTCTTGTAGCCAGAATAATTTATTGGGCATCATTTGGGTTCCTGGCATGTTAACATAGCGGCCAAAATTTGTTGCAGGGAGGAGGATACCAGACCACGTGGCAGAGGAGACACCAAACAAAACGTTATATAGCTTTCAGAGTAACAATGGTCAGTCAGTGAGAACTACAGCTTGGCTTCCCAGAACTAACTGGGAAAATACCAGTAGGAAGCAAACCAAGAATTAAGTCTGTTCAAATGCTTATTTTTTGCCTTCCAGCCAATCTAGCATGTGAATTTCCTGAGTTCACTTTCACCTGACACATGAAAGTGCTTTACGAGCACTGATAAAAACTAACATGCAGTTAATGTCCCCCAAGCTAAACAGATGAAACGGGGAACAATTAGTGAAATTTTGCTTTCCAGGGGAGCTGCTTTGGTGAAAGCCAAGAGCAGAAGGGAGAGTAGTTTCTAATAATGACACAACCCCTAATTGTACAGCTCATCATTTCAGCTGAGCTGCAAGAAAGCGTGTCCACATGAAATGCTATTTGCATAAATCACACTTAGCTAGGCCAAGTCCTGCACCCATTGCAGTACACAGTGGAGATTAATGCTGACCTCAGTGAGCCAGAGGTGTGGCTCAACCTTGTGGAAGTAAGACCAAAACACCCAGTCAAAAATTTGGCATAGCAACAGGAAGGGCTACTTATCTTAAGATCTGCCTCACTTAAATCCCTGGTCTGCAGATAACTCTCCTCTCTCGTTCACTGACTGCCCACTCCTAACACAAGACAAAAGAACTTGACAGGAAGCTCCAGCAGGATTTTATTCAATACAACAAGACTGAAGAAGATTGGTGTACATTACTGATTTTTCAAGTTGCTAAAACAAACCCATAGTGACAAGAACAACTGAGGCTGATGACATACGCAGCAGCGTGGCGACCATCTCTCTAGTGCCCATACCTGCAAACAGACAACATGTTAATGCTTTTTAAGAAACCATGTTTCATACTAGTGCAGATTTATTCTCATTCTACCACGATGTAATTAACATGTAACCCAGAGGAAGGTGAAATGCTACGCTATGGAAACCTTCCAAAGTTCTCCATATTGCACTTCCCCCCAAAGTCTATCCAGACACTACGTAGAAGAAAGCCTGAGCAATCCACAATATTACATGCACAAGACCCTCGGTATCATCATCATTTGCCCTGAACCTCTTTTCAAATATATCCTGCATGAAAACAAGGCTAGAGCTTGTCATAGCCCCAGACAACATTCATTCATGCCTCCATTCCTCATCATGCTGCCCGTGCAGTATTAAGTCACCGGCCAGGCAACAGGGGCTCAGTTTTCACTACTTTGCTCAGTTAGGCAAACATCTTAACTTCTCTTGATGCACAATTACCTCTCAAAATACAATTATCCCTCAAAAACTTATCCATTGTTATTCTAACATCAGACCTTTGAAAAACACAAAACAAAACAAAGAATACAGAAATTACGAACAAATGGTCCAAGGCTGTAGCAATGGCTACATGGACATTTGATTTCCAGATGCTATTAAATCAGCTGTAGGAATCTCTAAGCCTAATAGAGTTATAAAACAAATCATCAAGATACAAAGGGACCCAATAAGATGTCTGGCACCTCAGCAGAAATGCTTTGGAACATAAGCAACTAAATTCAGGTCATTTTCTAAACCCAAGTTACTCATGTGGCAGCATAATATTCACCTGAGGCCCACTTTCAGTGAATTCCATTTCTTTCCTGCTCTCTATTCTTTAGAGAAAATGTCAATAGAAATCACTGCTTCCTACCAACTGCCACTTAACTTGCGGTGTTTGGGCCTCCTTCAGAGCTCATTTAGCATCAGGTGACTAAGGAAAGGTCCTTATACAGCAAAGGTGGAGAAAAAAAAACCTTTCCCAACAGTAACTATGCCCTCAGACCCACAGATAAGAGACATTAATATCTGATATTGATAATTCCTATTAACAGAAGGATAATTGGATATTTCATCTTAAAATCTGTGCAGGATACTTACTTTTGGAACTCCCATTCCCTGTTGTCCAGCGGACATACTTGGCGAGTTTTGAGCCAGCGAGAGATGCAGTGGAAGTGGAAAGCATGCTGGAAGAGAAAGTTCACATCACTTCATAATACACAACTGTATCTCAATGTGAAAACTACCACTGAAAGCATTAGGGTAAGAAGAGAGTAGCAAGTGTTTGCAGACAAAGGTGAGGAGGACTAATCAGCCAGCTCACTGGTAAACACCAAGGAATTGATCCAGATTTTCAGAGAGGAAGGGAATATTAGCGAAATGAGAGCAGGGACCCTCTTCCACAGTGCACGCAGTGCTAACAGACTAACTTCTGAGGAAGGAAAGAACACAGAGTTTAGCAGCTGCTAAAACTGGCAGAGCAGATGCTGATAAGAAGCATAATCAGAAAGACAAGAAAGAGGATTTCACAGTGAATAGCAGGGACGATATGTATGTATATATGCTTAAGATTTCTGCCAGTCATCTGGACAAACCAAAGCCCAAATTAAAAAGGAACTTGCAAAATTAGAAGGGAAAACAGAATCTGTTTGTGTTTAGTAAAATAAGGTCACCCTTTTCCGTACCCCATACAGCTAGTTAAAAACAAGGTTCCACTTGTGGTAACTCTTGCACACAAAGACATAATTTTGACACTAGAATATCCTGACATGGTTAAAAAAATTGCTCTTGTCCTCTACAAACAGAATTGCAACATTTATAATCCTGTTCAAGGCAATATCACACTGTGACTTGATCCCACAGCAGAGTGAGGATGGGACTGAGGAACAGGTAGTTATTTCATTATGGAAAATTTTACCTTCCAACTCGGGCCCAGGCTAGCTAAGAGATACGTAAGTCTGAGTTCGCATGTTAGTGGGACCGTGTATGAAGGAATGCATACAGCAAAAAATTGAAGAGCTGGAGATTATACACTAGAACCAATTTGATCTTTCTCCAAAACGGAAAGCAAATCACCTTCTTACCCCATACTGGCTCCTCGAATCAGATTGCACAAGGACAAATGAAGCATGCTGAGATCAAAAAAATCCTATTGCCAGGAAAAACGAAGGCATAGTTCCTAGGCAGAACCTTGATCAGGAAAATCATGCTCAAAGATCCATTATTATTTTAAAATTAAAAAAAAAAAGGCCTATTTTCCTCCCTTTTCTTCTGTGTCTTCTCTATTACACCTCTCCAACTCTCACCTCCCCCCCACCTTCTCTCTCCTTTCTACACTCTACTAAAACATATGGTGTTTAAGGTTCTTTTTTTTCCTGGTGGATTATCTGAAACATTTTATAGAACTCATTTTGTCCCAAGTTGTGAAAAAAGGGGATAGCATCACCACACATGAGCTCCGCAACAGAACAGTCTTCCTTACATTGCAGACACCCCATGCAACTGTGCACTCTTCAGAGGTAGCTGATGCTTGGTTTGCTTGACATTCTATGCCTGTGAAAACAAAGATTAAACACGTATATGCAGGAGTAGAAGATGGACATGGAACGCCAACTGGTAGATTCCTTCTCTTAACATAAACTTACTGTTTTGTCAGACATCATGTAATATTAGTTATATTTACAAATTAATTTGCACATGTAACCCTGGGGCTTGCCTGTCTTTTTTTCCTATAGTCTTGTGACAGGTAAGTACACACCAAAAACACACAGTAGGAAATACAGTTTACAAAATCATGTTTTGAAATTTTTATACCTTGGAATTGAGTACCCAGGAGGATCCCAAAAAGCATAAAGACTACTTATGGGCTTAGGTTGTGTTTTAGGGGTTTTGTATAAGGTGACATGGATGAAAAAGACAAGAGAAAGTGAGGAAAGAAGGAAAAACAGCACTGGGAAAATAAATCCAGTAGCCTGGCTCTCCAGTCTAGGGCCTGAACAATTCACACTTCTGCTCCAGCTCAAGAAAGAACTTCAAGAGAAAATAGGGATTACCAACTCCTCCCTCCACAGTCACCAGCACAAACCTACCAAACCAACATTTTATTAAAGGAAGTTTGAATAACTTCCTTAATAAATAGTTTTAATAAGTGTTAAAGGATGCTTTCTTTAAATGCCAAGGCCAAATTATTTAGAAAAGACCCATGCTAATAGCGTAGTAATTTTTAAAAACCCAGCTCAGAACTCAATACATGGGCTTGTTGCTGGCTTGTTTTGCAGATCTTGGCAAAGAAAATGGCTGAATGAGCTCCAATTGTCTCTTCACTGTTCGTGTGCCCAAATACGCACAGAGAAAAAGGAATTTGATTCACCAATTAAAGATTTAAAAACTTTAAAACCCCACAGGTTTGGCTGAAAAACGTGATCTTTACTTGCTCTGTCCTTTCTTCATTTTTCCCTCTCTTTGAGGTGTGGAGATGAACAAAATTAGAGAAAGGCCTGTTTTCCCATGAGATGTGAGAGAGATCAGTTAACCTTGGTAAGAAGGAACTACTCAAAACAAGACTGAGGTTTACAGAAAGTCAGTAGCAATGACTATTCTGCAAGATTCAAATGAACCTGTATTTATTACGTTTTACATCAAGATACACATAGGTGGAAGTCCAAAGCTGGCCAGCCTATAGGAGAATAAAATCTAGCGCACTGAAACATCTGAGGTCTTAATTCCTTAAGCCCTCAGATTAAATATTAAATATATATTAAAAATTACTTAAATATTACTTTATTTAAGTAATAAAACTAAATCTGGTTATGAAAATGGGAAATGCTCAAGAACCTTGAAGAGCTTCAATTACTTTGGGCATTTGTTTAAAATTTGACACCCAAGATTGCCAAAATACTGTTACTGCAGTACAGACTTATGATCCTGCTGAGTATCATGGGGCATATGATAGTAAGTATTTGGCATGAGCCTGTACAGTAACAGAGAACAGAGAGAAGATGAGTAGTGGGAAAAGGAGAGGAAACTCATTTGAAGGAAGAAAATTTAACTCCCTTGCTCTCTAAGTGGCCCTAACCTGTGAGCTGTATGCTTTGGAACACAATATAGTTATTTTATTTTTTTAGGCTTTAATGGACTTTGTGACCAGGAGTGAGAGGGAAAAAAGGTGGTTTAGATAAGGAAGAAAAGCAGCACTGAAATTCATTTCAGCATTACTCAAACATTTGCCATGAAGTAAATACAGTCCCAAAAGCTTAAGAGGACAGATGAACTTTTGCAAACATAGCCGAGGAGGAGTTCTCTGGTGGTGATGTAAGGCTCTTCCAACAAGACACCCAGATTTAACTCCCTCATCAAACAGGCCGGAGACTACTGCTGGCATCACTAAATCTGGCTGCCAAAAAAGGGCCTCCCAAAAGCTGAAGCACTTTTGAGTCTCCTACTTGCCTCATTTCAGAAAAGGACAGTATCTTAACACAGAAATGTAACAAATGATCAATTGCTGGCACAGAATGAAAGCTGCCAATTCTGGCTTTTGAAAGGAAGAGAAGCCATTTACTGCCTGCTGACCCAAAAGAAGTGGCAAAACAGTAACAGGTACTAGAGGAATACTGAAGAACTCTTCTGTTGCCTTGCTTTTGACAGAGTATTTGTAGGTGCAGGCAGAAAGATACAGATAAAACCTGAAATACCTGTAAATAATTGTGAAAGATGCAACAGAGGCATTTCTACTCAGGGAGCTACAGAAATGCTTGTTATATAATGGCAACTTCTGAATCTTGGCATCTATTAAGAACCATCCCTCTTCCTATACATTTTCTGTTGCAGAAATCTTCTGTATATCTAACAAGAAAAGTAACCCGAGATTTAAGTAGCCATAACGGCAAGTAAACAGAAGTACCTGTCTTTTATTCAGAGCTACAATAGCCCACTGCACTGGTAAATTTAATGGTAAAAGCTCTTCAAAGTGGCTTTCACTTGAGCAAATATAAGCAATGTATAGGTTTCCCTTTCTCTTTACATGTAGCCTTCTAAAACTATGTCATGAAGGGATCAACTTATTTGGGAGAAATAAATACACATAGCTTGGCTAATATGATACATCATGTACTCGCTCAGAAAACAGAGACAGAAAATACCAATAACCAGGCAAATAAACTTCAAGTACAATTCTACTTGTCCTGTGAGGCGTGGCTGAGGACTTTGGGTTTGTCTAGTTTGGAAAACAGGAGGCTGAGGGGCAACCTCGTTGTTCTCTACAGCTTCCTGAGAAGGGGAAGTGAAGAGGGAGGTGCTGAGCTCTTCTCCCTGATAACCAGTAATAGGATGCATGGGAATGGTTCAAAGCTGCATCAGGGGAGGTTTAGACTGGACATTAGGAAGCATTTCTCTACCAAGAGGGTAGTCAAACACTGAAACTAGCTTCCTATAGGTGGTGAATACCCCAAACCTCTAAGTGTTTAAGACATTTGGAAAATGCCCTTAACAACATGCTTTTGGTCAGCCCTGAATTGGTAAGGCAGTTGGACTGTAGGTCACTTAGAACTGAAATAGTCTAGTCTATTCCCTCAAAATGCAAAATGAGCTCTTCAATTTAGTTTTTCAAACTTCTGAGGAACTTTGGAATTTTCCCCTTGCAATTCTCTCCAATTTCTTAAGAATTATCTGCAGATTTTACTAAACCCTTACCCTAAGTTCCCCCTATCATACCATCATATGATTCCTTCTACTTATAAACCCCTTGTATGACACTCAGTATTTCCTGTTGGTATCACACTCCCAAAATACATGTACACTGCTATCATCTTCCACTCCTACTTGTGACTTAGGAAACTATATATACTTGGTTCTGTTCTTTTATTCTTCTCATAAATCCAAGCCCATTCTTATTACCAAATCATAATGTACATGCATGAGGCGAACTGCATGACACCTTAACATTGATGCCTGACTGTAATGTTAACAACCTTCCATTAGCATGGCTGATGCTACTTATCACTCTTTTAATGATTTCACTTTCAAAGTTTCTCTTCATCACTAGGAGGGAGACACTAATATTCTGCATTTTATCAAATTGAATCTTGTGTTGTTCTTCCCTGCACATTCTATTAATTTTTCCTCAATTTCCCATTACTTCACATCTTGTGTTTGAAAATCTAATTAAAGTGTTGTTTAACAACATTAATGGTCTGTAACAAGGAAGTAAGTAAATCTAGAGCCAACACTGATCTCGGAACACCAATTTAGATACCCCTTCTACTCTGTATACTGTCAATTGTGGTCTGCCATTTGCAGTCCAGGCTTTTTCTAACATTGCTCATATCCAAACTAGTAACATGTTATGCTTGAGCAACAAAAAAAAGAGGGGGGGGAGGAAATCTACCTACATCCTCTTCCTTCACTGTTTTGCCTAGCCTACCTATACACTCTCAACCCCACCCCCATTTTGGTAGTATCTGTTTTTTCCTTTTCCAGCCCCCAAGAACTGACACAAGAAATTCACTACTGGAAAATAACATCGATCCACTCTCCTTCCAGTTCCTCCACACCTTGCCTTCATCTCCATGCCCTATCTGCTGTTTATAAAAAATAACAAATATTTGAGACTCTATTTAGTCTGTCATGGGAGGCACTATTAATTTTGAGGCAGATTCATAAAATGAAACATACCAGCATCCACTATCCACTATCCTCTTGTCATGAACAATTACCTTGAATTACAGGATTTTATATATTCATTCTATACGTTTGGAAATTCTGTGGATGTAACTTATATCCTAACAAGTGTTTAAAATTCCATTTGCCTGTCAGTGACATGCTTTCCTCTCAAAATATATCATAAATCTGAGACACTAACTAGTAGCCAAGTGTCCACCTCCTTTTGCAACTACTTTTCAAGATGGTACAGGCTAGAGGTACTTAAAAAGAAAATCTTTACATCAAAGAACATCAGCATATTTCATAACCCCTATTCTCACTTGTTTCTCGTTAGTGTTGTCATTCCGTTTCTAATAACCAGCAATGAACTGAGGCATGGAAAGGCATTAGTTGGCTCAAAATACAAACGTATCTGTCCCAAAGCAAAGATGCGTAACCCATTTTCAGCCTTGTGTGTCACAATGTGTTTTCTATTAAAAAAAAACCCAAACAACAAAAAACCAAACAAAGAACAAAAACTTATGAAAGTAGTATTGTAATTATTATTTACACATGATGTGAAACCAGGTCCATCTCTCACTAGTTGTTACTATAAACTTCAGGTCTCATTTTTCTGAAACGATTCATTTTTGGATAGGCTCACTAGCAGTAAATCGCTATGATCAGTAGTTCCAAGGTGCAACAAAACTATCACAATCAGATCATGACAGGCCATTCCCAAGCACTGTAGCTGTACATGCTCCAGTTTAGGAGGGCTCCACAATCCTCACATTCTAGTAATAAAGGCAAATAAGGCAAACTGCTACCTGAGGTATACTAAAAGGTCTTCTGTCCCTCATGACTGAAACAAGATGAACAGTTACAGTGCCAGCAGTACCTTGTCGTTTTTGAGAAAAAAACAAGATGTTTTTGTACTCATTATCAATCCTTTAAGGTACTGAAACCAGTGACTTTACACATGTGCACCTATTTCATGACAGAAATTTGTATACGTAATTCCATTATCTCTTTATTTTCCTACATAGCAAGCCTATATATGCTAGTTGAACCATCAAAATTTTACAGAAAACAAAATCAAACCAATACTAGCAATACTATTTTTTTTAATTATTATTTAGGCATTATTTAGACTCTCCTTTGTAACAGAACAATTCTCTAGGTGGCTACAGGGTTCCCCACAATACAATATGAACTAACTTATTTATGCAAAGTAGTTTTTGTAGAATGAGGAGTCAGATGAAGTCACTGGTCCAAAGCCTTTCCTGGCCAGACGCAGAGTGTTAAAAGATTTCATCCTGATGAGTGTCATCAAAAAGTGGATACCTATATCAACATGACCGACTGCAAAATCTAATACCTCTCTTTGTGAGCAATACCCCAAACAATTTCAGTTCTTTCTGGCTCTTTACTCCTTTTCCTTTGTTGTATCCCAAATACACTCAGCAACATCACATCATCTATAGCTGTGATACTCTTTACAAGAAAAGCAGTATAGTTGACAGGGTCACAAAAACAGATTATAGGACTTCACCATTACATAAAATAGAGGTTAGTATTTGCATTGTGAAGACTTATTTCCTAATTGAAAGCTGCATGTGCTGAATTTTCAGCTGTGCATCACATACAAGTCAAAACTGCCAGAGTCTTCCCCACCATTTACTTACATAGATCCATAATATGGTTTCTGCAAATGGCACAGTTATCAACCACAATGTCCCATGCCCACAGAGCTACTGCATTCCACTAGAGAGAAGGGGAGGAAAAAGAAAAACATAGTTTTGACTGAATTTACAGCACAGTTGTTTCTCAAAATCACATGTATTTTTTTAAATGGAAAAGCTGGGATATTTAAAAAAGATACGTTAGAAGTCCAGAGTAATCCTTTATCATGGGTTCAGATTACTAGAAAGCAGTAGTACACTCCTCTCACATACCTCCCAGACTCAATGTCTCCTTACAACTTCAGAAACAAGGTAACTCTCATAGTCCCCTTTTTTGTTAAACAAATGCAAACATCTGCATTTCTATTCAAGATCCAGAGGCAAGGTTGCAGCTCAAGCCATGTCGCCCAATTCTGATGGAAAGGACAGTGCCTTAGAGAAAAGCCAGTTCAGGGGCTATTTTAAAAGGAATTTCCATTATTTGCAGCAGTTCTTCTAGTGATCACCTCCATCAGAGCAGCTGGGGTCAAGAACTAAAATCATCACTAATGCTACACTTTCACTGACTCCTGAACAATATCTCCTCTGTTCCATGCTACAAATTTCCATGGCAATTTTAGAAAACTGATTCAGAATGAGGACTTTAAGATAAGCTATGCAGAAAAGCACAGTGCCTTTTCATTCCTCTGCACAACCCCCCCCTCCCAGTAATCAGGTCTTTTGTAAATGTATGAAAAAGGTGGAGTTGCCTTCAGCATTCAAAGCAAATCATATTGGTAGCCAGGATAATCTTCATTTACTAGGTAAGTAATCTAGATATTTTGTTTCCTTCCATTTTTTTTTTCAGTATATGATTTCATTGACGCTACTACAGTAAATCTTCTCTACCACGTTCAGTTTCTGTTTTAACATTCTCATTGCTTCTCCTCAGTTTGGGACTGAAGGAGAAACGTAGACTGCCAAATATTGATAAGCAGTAACAATTTGATCAGTACTTCAATATTTCATTAGTGCCGATATAAAAAGCCACCAGAATACTACTACATCATTTAGGAAATGGGTCAGTAATGATCTGATTCCCCCCCACCTTCCAACTTCAAGTCTAGCCAACCTCCTGGGTCTCAAGGACTTCATCCACATCCCAAGGCAGTTAGGACGAAACTTCCCATCACCCTTCTCTCTCCCACACTCTCAGCCGATTTCATGACCCATCATAATCTACTCCTACAACCAGAGCCACACACACAACAAACTTCGAGCTGGTACCTTGCTGGGGAGGATAAATGCCACTGACACATAAAAGGTGCCGCTTCCTGCTTCTCTCATGTGCCCCTATTTCCTAAGGACAAGCAATCAACGTCACCCAGCCACCTCCTTCAGCATAAAGCTGCAGCTCTGTACAGAGGCTTCCACCACCAGTGACGACAGCTGCATTTCAAACACAGCACAGAGCACTGGAAATGTTTCCTGATAGCCAGCCCAGGAGTTATTTTCCGTCAAATTCTACCTCAGCACAAGCTCACACAGCCTCCCCACCTCCTCTGCTCCCTCCTGCAAGAGGCTGGGGCTACTATCACCATCCACCTGACAAACTGGTGGGTGACAGCAGACCGTTTGCTGACTACACACACGATGTTACGGCTCGATTTAAAGAATAAGAAAATAAAAAAGAGAAACATGAATTTGCGCATGGCGTCTTAACGCAGCACACGGTGCGGCGGGGCCGGGGCTGAGGAGGAGGCGGCGGCGGCAGCAGCAGCAGCACTGCACCACTGCTCCTCGGCCCGAGCTGCTCAGAGAGGGCGCAGGCGGCCGAGCCCCGGCAGAGCCGCAGCACTCGGCCCTCCAAACCCTCTGACAGAGACAGCCCTTCCAGACCTCCCGCCGGCCGCGCCCGCTGATTGGCCAGGCTCCGCTCCACGTGCGGCTGCCCGCCTCAACTATTGGCCCGCGTTCACGGCAAGGCTTCCCGCAGGCACCACCCCACCCCACCCCACCCCTCCCCTCCCGCCGCGCCGGTGCGGGACGGAGAGCCCGGCTCCGTGAGGGGAGCAGGAAGAGGTCCTCTCCCCCACCCCGCTCGGCGCCACCAGGCCGGCCCTTGCCCCCCGCTCCCTCCCTCGAGGAGCCTGCCGGCGGTCCTCACTTTCTTCACTTCGAAGCGCTTCTTGCCCGCCCCGCTGTTGGTGCCGCTAGGGGTGTCCACATCCATCGCGGCCGCCATTTTTGGTGCGTGAGCCGACCGTGCTGCCCTGCGCGCATGCGCGGAGCGGGGAGGGACGGGGGGGGAGAGCGGAAGGGGGTGGGCGGGGCCACCCCGCGGCACGCCCTCCGCCGGCAGGTGCTACATGTCACGTGACTGTCGCGCTTAAAGGCGCCGGCCAGGGCGGGGTGGCGCAGTTACCTCATCCTGCGCCATGCGGTGCGGGGGGTGCGTAGCGGTGGTCGGGGACAGGGGCGCAGACACCCACACACGGGGCGGGGGACAGGCGGTGGTGTGGGACCGAGTCCGCCTGCAGCTGTTAGTGACTCCTGCGCGCCTCCCTGCCCGAGGGATCGCCTCTGAGTACAACCCCAGGCCCTGCTTTGCCCTCTCGGGGTCTCATTCCTCACTAAAATCACCTGGGAGTTGTCCCTGTGCCCTCGTATGGAGGGCTTCAGCCCTGAATAAGCGTTCAGTTTGTTTTACTACATTTAAACTGGTGTCCAGCAAGTGCAGACCGAGGAAGGGTCATTGGTGTTAACTGCTGTAGCCATTCTATTCACTATCAGTCCGTTTATTATTTTTAAATGAAACGTTAGGTTGCTAGATAGAACTCACAGTGTTCAGACTACTCTTTTTGCACGCAAATTAGGCTAACAATAGTTATAACTAACATGGGATTTACTTGCAGCTGCCTGAGCCCTGCCTATTCTGTTGCAGAGATAGATACAGGCATGGAAGTTAGTACTGGGAGGTTCCTCTCTCCATCAGCACAGTTCAGAGTACTTCTTTGAGGGGGTCAGTACCAGTATTCCCCAAGATATGGAAGCTGGGGGGAAGATATCTCCCTAGCATACCTTGAAATGTCACCAGCTTCGCACATCCTGGTAGACATGCTCTCTCTGGAGAGTCAAGCCTTTAAATCAGTTTGTACACCACATTGCTGCATGCATGTGAGAAGGAGGAGGTAGTAGAGAAAAGCAGAGAAAGGGCGTTCTCCTGCATATAAACAGGGAAGCAATATCTGTACTGTACGTGTTGCAGGCGTTTGGGACAAAAAGCGCTGTTCTGGTCTGACTCCACCATATCCGCCTTGTTGTATACACACAGCCTTTACCAGAGATCTAGTGCTTGCTGGGATGGGATGTCTGGCAATCTCCAAATAAATTTTAACCTCAAGTAGGGGCCTGTGATAAGCACAAGGTGATGCTGCCATTGGATGTGTTGGGATAATTTTCAGTGGGGTTCATATTTAGAATCATAGAATAGTTAGGGTTGGAAAGGACCTTAAGATCACCAAGTTCCAACCCCCCTGCAATGGGCAGGGACACCTCCCACTAAACCGTATCACCCAAGGCCTCGTCCAACCTGGTCTTGAACACTGCCAGGGATGGAGCATTCACAACCTCCCTGGGCAACCTATTCCAGTGCCTCACCACCCTAACAGGAAAGAATTTCCTCCTTATATCCAACCTAAACTTCCCCCGTTTAAGTTTTAACCCATTACCCCTTGTAGGGGTATCACTACAGTTCTTCATGAAGAGTCCCTCCCCAGCATCCCTATAGGGCGCCTTCAGATACTGGAAGGCTGCTATGAGGTCTCCATGCAGCCTTCTCCAGGCTGAACAGCCCCAACTTTCTCAGCCTGTCTCCATATGGGAGGTGCTCCAGTCCCCTGATCATCCTCGTGACCCTTCTCTGGACTTGTTCCAACAGTTCCATGTCCTTTTTATGTTGAGGACATCAGAACTGCACACAAAACTCCAAGTGAGGCCTCACAAGAGCAGAGTAGAGGGGCAGGATCACCTCCTTCAACCTGCTGGTCACGCTCCTTTTGATGCAGCCCAGGATACGGTTGGCTTTCTGGGCTGCAAGCACACACTGCCTGCTCATGTTCATTTTCTCATCGACCATCACCCCCAAGTCCTTCTCTGCAGGGCTGCTCTGAATCTCTTCTTAGTCCAACCTTTAACACTTGTGCCTTGAGTGAAGCACATAACTAAATGTGTGCAGTGTCAGGCTGAGCCTGAAAGTTACATATGCAGAGTAAAGGTAAGTTTGAAGAAGAAAAATGCCATCTGTCAACTATACACCTTGTAGTTATCAACGTGGAAATCTCCCATTTCACCTAACTGCCCTTTTCCCCAGATGCTGCCCAGTTGTGGTGCATATCTTACTGCTGTCAATGAAATGAAGCTGCAAAGATTCAGGGTTTTGTCCTGTTGCTCCTTATTCAGGACTGTAGTGTGAAGGCCATTGCAAAGGAATATCTTAAAAATGGGATGTGGGTGCTTACCCCTAAGTCTGTATGGTAATGACCCCAGTAGGACACTAGTCAGCAGGAATCCAGGATGGTAAACAAACATGTAGAGCAGGGCAGGTGCATACCAGAGAAATGTTAACGTTCATTTTTACTTAAACGACTACTGTGATGCAAAATTATAGTCTTCCCACCTCAGCTGATGTCACCACGAGGAGATGGTTGCCAATGGGTAAAAGCCATGTAGCCAGCAATCATGTGGTCTGGATTGATCTTCCTGTATCTGGCAGCAAAAGGAGTATAGCAATGCAGATCTTGCTAAAAAGGTGGAGGTGCTTTCAGGAAAGAAATATAACAGACATGGTGCAGAACAGAACCTGTACCTGCGTGCTTATTTAGTTAGTATTTACTGATTTGCTGACAATGGGAAGAACATTAAGAGAACTTCAGTGTGCTTCACTGAGTGAAATCAGTGATGGTATTCCCCAACAGTCCTGCACATCATAAAAAGGTCTAAGTTATCTAATTTCCTGCACACAAAATATCTGTTTTCTGTCGATTTTAGTGTCTCCTCCCATCTCCTCCTAGGAAAAATGCAGCCCCTCAGACCTGTTTTCCCCCTGCTATATGTTATAGAGAAGTGTCAGTGACTGCTGCAGGAAGAAAGGCTGTGGATTTGAAAAGCATCAGCCTCAAAAGAAATACAACACTGTGGTCCAAATTACCAGGGATGCTTTGAAGAATGGATCATTTTTCAAATCACTGGGACATGCAGGGAAAAAAAGAGGAGACTGCCAAGCTGAAAAGGCAGGGAGACAGACAGCCGAGGTGACACATGACAACTGCTCTGAATATCGTTAGTCCCAATTAAAATGAGACAAACTCCTCCCAGTTCAAACCATTCCAACAGGTAAGGCACCAACAACCTGGTGACTAGTGCAGTTACCTTCCAAAACCAGTCTCTCATTTTGGTTGTTGCCCTTCTCCTTTATATTCATTCTGTTGTCTTTTGTGTTTTTTTTTTTCTGCAGCCAATTATTTTCTTACATGGGATTTATCCCCATATGACTGCCTCCCTCTCCACCGCCATGCGTTCACCCTTTGAACCTGTGTGTCTGACTGGAGTGCTGTGTAACTGCTAGTGGAGTGGCAGCTGCTGGCAGCCCTGGCTCTCCATGACTACACCTACATGGGGACCAGGTAGAAGGCCTTGCAGCAGTGGTACTGACAAAACTCGTTCCTCCAAGTCACCAGAACAGAGGGATCCATGCAGCAGCAGTGTGGATCCATCTATCCCAGAACTATCCAGATCAGAAGGAAAATGCACACAGGACAGGTTGCTTTGCTTTCCAGTCTTCGCTGCCTGAGCCTTTTGCATTTGGCTCCCCAGACCCTCAGACAAGATGAGCATCCTCTGTTACCACCACTTGTCCTCAGTGCAGACACCAATGCCACAGGATCTCTCTGGGACATGAGGGTCACTCTCAGGAATGAGACTGTTCTGAAAGACAGGAGAAAATTTCAACACTTTCAGACACTCTTTAGAGAAAATTGCCTTTTCTGTACAGTCACGAGAGTAGGGATGGGCCTTCCAAGACTGCCAGGAGCAAAGAGTGGGGAGAAAAAATGGGAGGTGGCCCCTTTCTAAGTGCTTGCAAACCTCAGGTTTTTCTGTTGCCTTTCTGTGCTTCACCATCTCAGTGCTGCCTGCTTAAGGCGTGGTTTCAATGGTGCCCTAAGCAGCGTCAAGCAGGAATTACCTGGTATATGAGACTAGTTCCCCTTCAGTGGTTGTAAAGCAAGGAGTAAAACTCAAGTACATTGTTCTACATTTTGAAGGACTGTAGGGCTGGCCGGCCACCCTCTAGTTGCTGATGCTACTAAAACCGTTTGAATTGACTGAATTGGGATTTCTAGCACCCTTTGCTTTTGGATGCCCAAACCCACAGACAGCATTCACAAATTACTACTGGGGCAAAACTGAATCTACCGTTTTACCCATGTTGCCACAAAACTTCCCAAAGTTCATGAAGTAAGCAAACATCCTCCCACCAAGGCTCTGCAGCATCCCCAGCTGATTCAGTGTTCTTGGCTGGCATAGGGAAGCTGAATTCAAAGAATAGAGACAGAGGGGTATATTAAGCAATATATTCCATGGATTTCTAGACCAGACTGTGCCTGGTTTCTGCAGAAACCCAACCCCCCTGCATCTGTGCATGTCTTCCGGATGATGGTTACACTGTACCCCCTATAGTATCCCTGGCTTTGTGATCCATTACTAAAACCTCAGGCAAGAACCAGAGCTTCCAGGCTCCAGAAATCTAGCTAAAAAAGAATGGATGAGATTCTGAGAGAGGAGCAGGTTGTAGCATTTAATGGGATGGTGACTAATCATTGCTCTTCCTTTCTCATGACATTTTACCTAAAGCTGCTTGATAACTTGCAGATAAAATAACATACAAGCATTGTGGCAGCCTGCAGGTAAGTAGGTGTCTGCAAAAACCATGCTATGTAACGGCTGTGCCCCATCTCCTGCAGACAGCTTTTCCCCACACACGGGAGAAGGTAGCTGGGGGTCTTGCTCCACGGCTACCAAATGACACTGTCCCCACAGTGGAATCTCAGGCCTTCACCATACCTGACAATCAGCTGCAGCTGATACAAAGGAATGTGATCAGGAGAGATGGACCCCAGTGTGTTACGGTGAGGATGTTGGGCTGATTCCACCCCGCTTCAAGAAAGGGTTTGAAGCAATCCCTCCTATGCATCAACACCCTCATGCTCCCCATCCTAATCCTTGCCTCCAACTACGGAGCTCCACCTTAGGAAGGAAGGAATCCCACCCACACCAACCCCACCGCCTCCCTGCCACCCCTTTGCAGCTCTGGCCGCCAAGCTGCAGCTGCGAATCGCGTCCGCCTGTGCTGCCACCTCCCGAGAGAAACCAGCATGCCAGTTCCTGCTCGGGGGAGAGGACGTGTTCTGCGGCCAGGCATGCAGCCTGCGCCGGAGGTCCCCAGGGGAGCCAGGGCTTTCCGTGCTGCCCATAGCCTGAGGAGACGTGACTCAGGCCCAGGAGTCACCATACCTGCAGCCTGACCGCCTCTTCTATTCACAAGGCTGAAAAAAAGAGGTGGGAGAGTGAAACTGCCTACAGCAACCGCGACAAAAATGCATACGCAGGAAAGTGTCCTGCTTTAACCTGTGAGCTGGGATCCTGAAGAGATGTCAGGGACAGAGGCTGAGGCTGTAATTCAGAAAGACGGCAAGTCTGTCAGAGGGTAACAGGAAAGCGGTAGCAGGGGAGCGATAGTTTTTAACCCAAACATCCCAGGAGAGCTGTATGACATGACAAGAGTCTATGGGATAGTCCAAGTGCAAGATACAGCGCCACTAACCACACTAGAGACATCATTTGAGTACCAGGTCACAGTCTGGACCTCCTTCATTGCTTAGACAAGAATCTTCAAAGTGCCTTTTATCCTTAAAAGGATGATGAAAAAAAAAAAAAAAAGGAAGATGTTATGATAGCTCAATACAAGTAGTTTCCAGTATTGCATGTAATAAACATTGGAAGATCTGCCAGGCTAATTAACAGTAGCCAGGAAAAACCATGAGAGTAACCAGAGTAGTAACACAAGCTTGCCTGCTTATAAATCAATGAACTCCTACTGATCTGGGAAATCTATGAACCTTCAGTAACACAAGGAGAGGCAGTTCCAAACTGCTGTGTGGGAGACACTAAATATGTTTATAGTTATTCTTATCCACCACTTCTCCCTGACAGTCCTCAATGTGAGGAAAAAGTCACAGAGAGGGAATAAGCAGTAAAATCAGAAGGCAAAAAATCACATTATCAAGAAAGGGAGGCCTAGAAACTAACTCCACTGAGTCAAAGGTTTTGATGCTGTTTGAAAGGAGATAAAACCATTCAGCTACAGCTTTGCATTTGTCTTTCCCCTTTAATTTTCTGTCCTTTTTCCAAAATATATAGTACCCCCAAATCCCTCTGAAGATCACTTCTAACTGAAGCAAGCTCCTAACTGCAGGCCCTGCTCAACAAGACACCATTCATTAGCCTTTGCCATCCTTCTTTGACATAAATGCTGCTATTGGTAAAAGCATTTTCTTGAAGCCCTTCATAGTAATAGGAAAGGTACCATTTGGCAACTAAAAACTGTAAAAATCCAACTCCAAGATTACTGGGGGGGGGGGGGGGGGGGGGGGAAGGGGGAGAAGGATGGAGGCAGAATTTGAAAGTGCAGCTCAGATGTGATTTCTGGGCAAAAAAAGTAACTAATTTTACACCTCTTCTTCTCAGAAAGACACAAAGGAATTGGAAAAACAAATTAGGGGGCCCACAGAAATGTCAATTACCAGGGTAAAAACTATATGGGTATTACAGAAGAGACCAAGAGTGAGGGACCCAGCAGTCCCCTGTCTCCCATACCAGTGTAAGTCAGAACAAAAACTGTGGTGCCTAACTCAGATAGTTCTCAGAAGGCAGAATTTCAAATATTTCTGACATTTAACTGCTCTCTGTCGTGAATGTCTGGGTAAAGACAATATACTGAGTTTAGCCTTACATTGGACTCCACTGGAAAGTTCATTATGGCATCTCAGTCAGCAGCTCCCACAAGAGATGGTCTGCCTGCCAGTCTATCCCAAACAATAAAATAAATTAACAAACTGTCATACTTCTTTGCATTTCATATACCTTGAGCGTATCTGGCTCTGTCAAACATCCTCTCCTTTAATTTCGAAGCTCAGCACAACTGGATCTGCAGAACTCCAATGGAGAGAAGGGCCATGTGAAGCAGCAAGCTTTCACTGATCAGCTTTCATGGATCTTCCCAATCCTGACTCTTTCAGGAAATGCAGAAAATAGAAGTGTAAGGTGCAGGGCCTAGTGCTTTGGTAATTTTTGCTTTTTGGTTGTGTAGCACTGCAAAGGATGTAGTCCCTTCTCCCCTCCAGTCACTGTGTGCTTGTTTGTTTTTCTTCTTTCACCACATTCATAAATTGTATTTCTCAACCCAGTTTAAGGATTCACTGATTCCTATCTGTGCTATGAGGAAGAGGAAAGGCATATCCAGCACTAGGAATATTCTCCTGCCTACCTGCAGTATCAGCAAGACTTTTTAAAAAAGGAACAGAACAAGATGCAACAGCTTCAGGGAGGTTTTAGCAAGATACACAGATAGTTCTATATCAGGTGAGTGTTTACTACAACTACCAAGGAGTTAAGTCCCTTACCTCAATATATAGAAATACTCATGAGTTTATCATGGATGATCCTTGTGTTGAAGTTCATCCACATCTCATAACCTTCTTTTGTGAGTCTGCAATCATTTAGGACAACCAGTTGCACAGGTCTGAACAGGAGTATGATAAGTAACTTTGAGGAACCAGGAAAGCTGCTAAAAGGAAGAGGCCAGAGATCTGGCAATGCCATACAGAGCCAAACCATCAGCAGCTACCAGCCCCTTTTGATTCCCTGAAGGAGGAAAAACAAGGCCCCATTCTCTTAACTTCCTTTATTCACACAAAGACTGACAAAGTACCTACCTTTGCATTTAGATACATTTCTCTTGCTGGGGGTTGGACTGGCAAAGATATCTTCTGCAAATGCCTGTCAAACAGCAGCCCTTGGTTAGAAAGGGGCTTGAAGCCAAGGAAGAGCCCTTAAAATTCTTCTTTCATACAGCAAAACTGAATTAATAGAAACACTTTGGAGAGTATAAAGAAAACTTAATTTTCTTTCTGCAGTCCTAGTACAAGGGAAAATATGGCAGATGACAATTTATCAGGGCAAGAGTGGGGTGGAAAGGCTGAGGGACCAATAGCCCCTAGAAGTTTGCATAAGTGCAACTTGCACGTTACCTGATTAATAATTTAGTTGCTTATGCTAAACTAGATTTCCATCAATTTACCCTACTATTCCCTTCTGCTTACTCATTTCTTTCTCTCACAGTGTGTTTTATTGCATGATTCTGTGATTGTATGTTTGTATTTCACTGTATTTTTAAACTCAATCATTAAAACCCAGGTTGTCATTTTGTTGGTGTGTAGAAATTATCAAGTAATCATTCCCTTCTAAAAATACCCATTTGTATTGGGTTTGTGTGGCAAGGTTTTGCTGGGGGGGGGGGGGGGGGGGGGGTACAGGGGTGGCTTCTGTGAGAAGCTGCCAGAAGCTTCCCCTGTGTCCAACAAAGCCAATAAGCCAATGTCAGCCAGCTCCAAGATGGACCCGTGCTGGCCAAGGCTGTGCAATGGTGTTAGCGCCTCTGGGATAACATATTTAAGAAGAGGGAAAAGTTACTGTGCAGAGCAATTGCAGCTGAGAGAACCAGTTCTGCAGACAGCAAGGTCAGTGCAAAAGGAGGGGAAGAGGTGCTCCAGGCACCAGAACAAAGATTCCCCTGCAGCCCGTGGTGAAGGCCACGGTGAGGCAGGCTGTGCCCCTGCAGTCCATGGAGGTCCATGGTAGAGTAGGGGGATGCCTAAAGGAGGCTGTGACCCTGTGGGAAGCCCTTGCTGCAGCAAGGCTCCTGGCAGGACCTGTGCCCTCATGGAAAGAGAAGCCCACTGGAGCAGGTTTGCTGGCAGGACTTGTGACCCCATGGAAGGGACCCATGCTGCAGCAGTCTGTTCCTGAAGGACTGTAGCCATGGAAGGGACCCATGCTGGAGCAGTTCATGAAGAACTGCAGCCCATGGGAAGGACTCACGTTGGAGAAGTTTGTGGAGAACCATCTCCTGTGAGAGGGACCCTACACTGCGGCAGGGGAACAGTGTGAGGAGTCTTCCCCTGAGGAGGAAGGAGCATCAGAGATGTGGTGAACTGACCACAATCACCATTCCCCATCCCCCTGCACTGGTGGAGGGGAAGAGGTAGAAAAAAATGGAGGTAAAGTTAAGCCTGGGAAGAAGGAGGTGGGGGGGAGAAGGTTTTTTTAAGATTTGGGTTTATTTCTCATTATCCTATTCTGATTTGATTGGGAATAAATTGAACTAATTTCCCCAAGTCAAGTCTGTTTTGCCCATGACAGCTTTTGGTAATTGGTAAATGATCTCTTCTGTCCTTGCATCATGAGCTTTTTGTTCTATTTTCTCTCCTCTGTCCAGTTGAGGAGGGAGAGTGATAGAATAACTTTGGTGGGCACCTGACATCCAGCCAGGGTCAACCCACCACACCATTTCATTCCATCTTATTTGCATTATATGAATTAATATGGATTATGGCTCATTTTCCATCTGCCATTTCTTTGATGCAAGACCAGAAGTCTCTGTAATTCCCCTGTAGACTTATGGGTTGTGAAGATAAACGGGCTCCTCTGCAGTCCTGTAAAAGTCTTTGGTGAGGCATCAGGAGAGAGGAATAATCTACTCTGTAAAAGCACCAGACCTGCTGGGAAGGCAAGCTGAGGGTTGGAAATGTTAAGTATCCCAGTCCCTAGCAAACACAGAATAGAGGGGGTTTTCTATAAACTCACTGCTGATCTTTTTAGCCTGTGGGATATAGAGGCCTCCTCCTGCTGGAGTCTGGTGAGTGCCAGCCATCTTGTTCACTGTAATTATAGCTGTTAAGACAGAAAAGTAAGAAACATCCATCTTTTGGCAGTCTACAGGTTTATAAACGCAGCTTTCAGCTGAACCTTGGATATTTGTTTGTAAGCTTCTTGCCATGGTTTATAATCACCTCTCCCTTTCTGACAGAGATGAGCAGACTCCACTCCATTAACTGCATCTCCCTCAGGTTCTCTGCTCAAGTTAAAAAGAAAGTTCTCATAGAACTTGGAGGGCACATCTGGGACTCGTGCACAACACAACAGTGGTTTGTTTGCAGCAGCTTAATTTAAATTGGATTTCACATCAATTTGTTGAACAGCTGAGGAACCCCGTGTGGACACACTTATTTGCCTTAAAAGCTGGCTTAAAATCAGTTCCTTATCAATTTAAGCTCCACTGATCAGATTTAAATATATATTTAAAAGGTCAACACAACCTTTTGCATTGATTTAATGAAATGATATTGAAAGCAATGCTTGAGTAAACTGGTGCAGCTCTGTGTAAAAGCTGTCCGAATTAGGGTAATATGGATTGTCAAAAGATGGAGAAACATTTCTTCCCATCAAAGCTTGCAAATTCAATCTCTTGATTGGATGCTAGCAAGACACAGGCTGATGGATCTCTCCTCTGATGGAACCATGTATTGATTTTACCATTAGATATACAAACCAAATGCCTAATTCAGTAATAGGCACATTTTATGCCTTCCCTTGATGGTGTTGATCTGAGCCCTACAATATATTCATTTTAGCTCAAAACCACATATAGTGCCTCTTCAATATGAAAGTTCAAACTTTAGGCCTGGATATGTTTTAAAACTTATGATCTTTTTAAGATTATATTTGGTAAAGATAGGACCTTTTAAAAAATCTAGCTAAATAACAGCATGAAAGGGTCATTTATGTCAGGAGCCTATTTCACTGTTTAACAGGTGCAGCTATTCACCATAAATTAAGTCTCATTTGTGCTGATTGCTTGAATTGCTGAGGAATCACTTTACTGGTATGTGAAATATTTACTATGTATAGCTGGACAGCTTCCCAGAAATTCTGATGAAGCACATTAATGCACAAGAAAGAACATCCTTTCCTCATAAGACTTATGAAAACATCAGCTTTGCTCCTCCCAGCATCTTATACACAGGCTTTTCTTGAACTATCTGAGTTACCCATACAAATTTATCTAGATAACTATTAAGAAAGATCTTTCTAGATAGAAAATTCTCTATCTGTTGAGTCAAGATGCTGTTATAAACATGAATAACCAAAACAAAATACACTTTTACATTTTCTTTCACCCTAGTTAGAAATTGCATTTTGTTTACAGGAGGGTGAAAAACCACATGTTGCTTTAAACCATTTCAGATGCCCAGAACAGAGAACTGATATTGGGATCACTTAAAAAGCAAGTGAACTCAAAAGCCAATAACTAACATTTGGCTGGGAATTATTTGCATGTGTCCTTTGAATAAGGTGCACTACTTGCTAAGAATGATTAATTTAGACAATTCAGCTATGGATGTCTGGATCTGTGGAACATCCAAAATACGGTACAAAGGTAGGAAAGATTTCCAGTTACTACCTAAAAGTTCTGGGTTCCCACCTGTAATAGGAGATCTGGGTTTGCTATGTAATTATCTGCATGAGAAATATAGGCAAGTTTAGGTCTTAGAGAGTGTTACAATATGCAAGAATTAAAAAGAACATCAATAGCATGTTTACACAGACAAGAAAAATTTCAAACAAGCATAGGCCGCATTCCTTGCTGTTGAAGAGCCACAAAAAAACCTCAGCCAACCTAAATTAAACAGCAGTAAAAGCCAATATGAACTGTGTTGTATTAAAAAGCTAATACTGAGAGAGCCATGAACGCTCAAGAGTTTACATGAGCAGCCTATAAAATGCTGATGTAACTAGCACCAGGGAACTCTGTACAAACCATCCCTCTGCAAACACAAAACTGTATTAAAAAAAAAATCCAAAATCAGACTACTTCCAGGGCCAGGAATAACAGACATACACAAACTCGCAAGGTTAAGATTTGTTCTCTGCTCCTAATACACAGGCGTGTGTCACCAAAGTGTTCATATGATTTTCAAGGATATGTTTCTCTGAGGTGAAAGCAAGTTTCCTGTCCTGCCTGGTATAAACTCTGAGTTTAAGTTCAGGCAACATGAACCCGAGTAGTACAATTTCTTTTCCATCCTCTGAACATTATGGCTATGCAGTGGACTCCTCATTATGGTCTGAAGAGCTCCTTTAGACTGGCTGTGAACAACAGTACTTATATTGTTTTTTCACAGATGCTTGTGAATTTTGTGTATTTTGAACATTCATGCTTTATTCAAAATACACGAGACTAGGTGCACAGGGCAGCGTGTGCCCTGGCTTTGACTCTAGTGTGAGAACATTTCATTCTCTGAACAGTTAGTGAAAGAATGTAAAAAAGAGGCAACAATTCTGTGTTTACTTACTACAATGCACAGCAAACTGCTGGAAAGCAGTCAGGGGTCAAATCTTTCACATCTCTTTTCCCAAGAAGATAGAAACTGCCCAAGTAATAAGTGGATGAAGCTTTTCTCCATGAACATTACCTACATCAGGCTCAAACCACTGCACTAGTTTATTTTAAAACTGCAGAATAAGTGAGAAAGTGTCTTTTTACTATAACATGATTTTAATTAAAAGGGGAATTGTGGCTTCTGCCATTAGTGTAGTGCAATTCATACGGATTTGCAAAAAGGAACTTACTTTCTTATAGAATGGAAGTTTATTTCTGGCCCCATATGCAAAAGCTCATAGAGAGCTTGCAGTCTCACTATATCCAACTAATAGAGCAGCAGTTACATGGAGAATGGTCTTTTGAGTAAAGGACAAATTTTTCCCATAATTCAAATGCATTGTTCATACTTAACGTTTCAAATACTCATTAGAGTATGACAGAGAACACCAGTCACTTCCATCAAGACTGGAATCCATGGGAGTAGAAGTACTATCCTATCAACTAAAACATTGCTGGGATAACACTGGAAAACACTTGTTCATGTTTCCATAGGCTCAGCAATACTTCAGCCGGCCTTTTTATGAAGATCAGATGAGGATATGATAAGCAGTAGCAGAACATACAGAAATCATACTTCCAGTCCAAGGCTGGAATGTGCCACTTCAAGAGCTGTCTAATCTCAACTGTTTACTGAGGATATTTAACTGCTGGGAGCTGTGAGTATGATACTCTAAAACTTTTGTATATTAAAAAGATACAAAATTAACCAAAATTAATATTATTAACTTTTCTACATGAATTCATCTTCTACTTAAAATGTTATCTTTTTCTTATAAATGTGTTCCTTGAATGAAAAAGCAAAAAAAAAAAAGAATCTATTTCCATCTTCCCCAGATTTTTAAAATAAGAAATATTTTTAGTCTTCTTATTTATATAACAATTTCAAAATTGGGGAAGAGGATACAATGTTTGCAACAAGCATAAATGTCAAGAATGCTTGTAGTTTCCATGTGGTAGTTAAATAATATTATTTTGAAAAACTTAATACACACAATAAAGGAGATAATGCAAATTGTTGGTCCTTGACACTGGTGACCTCCAGAAACTTCCCAAAACAGATGATATGCTATCGTCAGTCCAGCTATCTGCAGATAGAATGAAAGAATGATTTGTGCACATGAAGATTCTGAGACTGAATGTCAGATCCTGAAAAGCACAATTCAAAATGTATAGAGGCAGACTGGGTGCAAAATCATACATAATATGACTGACCTGAAAAGAAAGAGGGTATAATGAACTCAAAATAAGCAATAGAGACTGCCCATCACTGTGTGCTCAATTTGCAAGTGCTTCATGACATAGTCATTTCTCCTGGATTAATTACTGAAGAGAGGAAAGTAGAAGTATATCTGCTTCCCCCTGTCTGAACTGAAAAGGAAGCATGTAGAAAAACACACAGTGGGTGTACACAAGCTCCAAGTGTGGAATAAAGCTCTCAAGGAGACATCATTCCAGTCAGTGTTTGGGGTTGGGACAGGCTGCCTGGGTCAGTCTCCTCCAGACTTCTCCAAACTTCTTTCAGAGCAAATCTGGGTTATGGACCCTGTAAAAGGTTACCCCTCCTTTTAACTCCACTGAGTGTCATTCAACATCTTCCAGCATGTAATCTGGAGCAAGCTTTCCAATGGAAATGTTCTGAAAACATCAGGTGACAGGATGAAGATGTCTCCTGTCACACTATGTTTGCTACCTAGTAGATATAGTAGAGCTAGATCAATACAGATTTACCAAGTGGGCTGGGAAAGAGTTGGAGGTACATGCAATTTGTATCAAGCCTGTCAGATTTCAAATGAGAAGCAAGAACAAAAGACACTGAGGATTTCAAGGGAAGAGCTTTGCTACTGAGGAGGTTAAAGTGATCAAATGTAACAGAACAGTTTCAAGACCAGGCTTGAAACTGAAACACCTGATTCTAAATCCAGAATGTAATCTAACAGGCAACATTGACTCGCAGGATTGCTACTCTCCAACTCTTCAGGATGTGGATTTTGTCTTTCACTTTGTGTTGGCACAAATACTCCAAACCTAGGTGATGAATCAGGGAGCAGCTGGAAGACTTAGATAATATCTGGACTATGCTCATATCCTGTACAATTTCTTATTTTATGGGAACAAACATGATGGCAAGAAGAGGGGGAAGCCCTGGGGCAGTATGGATCCAGGTCCAGAGGAGTCACTTTGCAGCCCCCTTTCACAACTTTACATTTAATTTTTTAAATGCACAAAGATTATGTTAAGTACCAGGTTAAAAAAGAATAAAAAGAGGATGACACTATTTACTGGAAGACATGATTTTCTTTCACGTGCATATATGTGTCTAAGATCTTTTCTGCCAGAGGAGTGTCATGCAACAGGTATGTCTCTTCATTGCTTATTTTCTTCCTTTCCTTTCTGCTTCTTTGTCCTTCTAGGTTTGTTTCCCTTGCTAAACTGTTGTGTAGCTCTGGGGACTCTGAAAAATGCAGCTCCATGAGGACGTGAAGTTCAGAGTGGTAGATATTTTTATAGAAGTACAGTCATAGTTCCATAGTCAAGGCTAAACTGTACCCAGAGTGGATATCCAAACTCTTCATTAAACATAAAGTTGCTTATCTTCCCTATGCTTGTTGGGAGGCAGGCAAAAAAAAGGTGTGTAGATGTTTAATGATGGGGTGGTTAACAAATGACTGAAAGAAACAATTCCCTATCTCATCCTTCTCCATCCCCCATCCTTCAGACGCCTTACTGAGGATCTGCTGCTGTCACACATGAGCTACCAGGCTCAGCACTAAATTGAGGAGGTAAAATACAGTGACTGTAATAGGAAGGCGCTCAAACTATTTGATCAAAGGGTGCCTCGTACCCTCTCATTCAGTCACTGTTAAGCAAAGATATGCAACATTCTAGAGGATTTTCAACTCAAGTCTTCTATTACCTTGTGACTCATTAAAAATGGTCTCCTTAAGAAATGTAGCATTTGGTGCATTTCTTGTCTAAATGAGCTTAGAGAAACAGCTTATCAGTCTTCTAATTTATTATTAACATTCACTAGAATTTCAGAGAGAGTTGCACACCAGAGGAAAATAGCTCTCATACCTAATGGCTGAGATTAATTTGCAGTTACCAGTATATTAGGAATTTAGCTTTGCACTACAATACTCCTTTTCATTAATTGCTACACTTTTCTGTTTTATTTCCCTAAGAACCTAAGTTAGAATGATACATTTGGGTTCAAAACTGACATAGTTACAATTGTGAATTTTAAGGGTAATAATCACATCTTTCAGATAGCACATTCTCACCTTTTTTGGAAAGGCACTCAGGGGAGAATCACAGAATGCTGTCTTCTCAAAAACCTCATACTGCAAGGAAATGACATTATAAGACTGAACCACCTCCCCCTCCACGCCAAAGATGGAGGAAATGTTAAGGCAGTGATTTACAGTAAAATAGATTATATATTCCTATTATTCAAAACCCCAAAATTATAAACCCTGAAAATTCTGAGATAAACAAGAAATCCAGATAAAGCATAAAGAAATTAAAAGTATCTAAACAATCATAACTAAGCTTGGAGAAATGTCTTCTAAATCTCTAACTAGCTTAAAGTCACAACATTTGTTTGCATAATATGTCTGTGTTTGTATATATATACACCAATACACACATGCTTTTGAAGATGAATCATACTTTTCCACTTTATAGTGTGCAGCTGAAAGCTCATGAGAAACCTCTCTCTGTTCTGCAATGAAGGTGAAAAAATACAGCATGCCTTTAAAAATCTCTTAACCATAACCAAGTCCACAAATGTAAAACTATTTCTATACAAACTGTATGTTTTTGTCTGGTTACAGTCACTACAGTAACACCCATATAGCTGCCAGAAAGCTCATCTCCTGGAAAAAAAAGAACAGGGTAAAGTATAAATTAGAAAGCAATCTACATACCAGATACCTGCGACACACCACAGGAGCCTCAGCAGCAAGTTACGGACTCTGACAAAAAGTCATTACAATGAGCATGCTGGAGGCTATGGCTGTTTCAGCTGCACTCTGGTACAAGTCTGGAGGGGGAACAGTCAGAACAGTCGGAGACTGAAGGCCTCTGTGACAGGGGCAGCTGCATGGTGATGTGAGGACTGCAGATTCCTGAGCCGTGTCTCTCTGCCCTCTGAGAACAAGAGGATGTGCAACTGAGCTGAGGGAGCATATGCACAGTGTGCAAGGAGTCAGCCAGACCTGGCTCTGCAGCAGTTTCAATCCCATGATAGGAACTTTCTTAATCCCTGATGCCATAACAAACCTTGTCTATCCAAAAAGCAAGGTTAAACATGTTAAGCAGTTACTAGATCAAAATGGGATCCTGGCAGCACATTAAGACAACAGCATGGAAATACCTACACAAACGATGAACTTCACAGAGGCCGCTTGATAGTAATGATCAGTCTGCCAAGTAGAGGCAAGAAAGGTTGCTCATAGGCAGTAAGGAACACCAGGTTTTGTAGCCTGGAATGAGACCTGCACTGAGAGAGCTTAAACCCCAGCCCCTTTTGTGCCATTAACAGCTGCACTTTCTCTGAATGACTACAATGTTTGTTACCTGTACAGAACTGAGATGTAATATTTATTACAGAGGTACTGGTTGTAGCTCCCACAGGCAAAACTGATGTGTTATACCTCGCACTCTGTGTGCACATTAGACTGGAAAAGCAAAGTATATTATCCCCAAACTTTAGCATTACTTCTCTGAGTAAAAGATTCACATGATAAGAGATTATCTGGCATCTGCTAAATATTTCCTGGTACAAGAGTCAGACTGCTTAATCTCAATTTGGATCAGGGGCCTAATCCCATTTTGCATTAATTTCCCAAAAGTGCACATTGAGGCAGAAGTCTTGTTCTGCCTGGGAATAAAAAGAACCTGAGCCTGTCTTCCTCTCACACACTATTGTTCATATTCACCTGATTTCCTGACAAAAAACAGTGAGCCAATTTCCCTAGGAAATACTGCATTTCAACCAGTTTTTGCTGGACTGCAAAATTCTAGTTGATGACTGAAAAACAGGCTGAGTTTTCCCAACTTCTGCTGCCAGAATCATGAAATCCTTTAAAAAGCCACAGCCTCATGGTCTTGAGAGGAGAAAACCAACAGAGCTTCAACCACTGTCAGTTTTGGCCAATGACACCATGCTGGAAACCAGCATTTGCAAGAAGCGCCCAAACTGAGACTGCACATGGCTCCTTGCAGTGCTTCTTGTTTCCCCGGCATCCAAGGAGGAGGAACAGACTGAAGCCTACAGGAGCCATTCTCACTCCTGGGCCTACAACCAGCTTTCTTGTTAACTTCTCATTTGCTCAAAAATCTCAACATCAGACTTAACACAGACAGGAAACATTTTCATTTTCTTTGCCATTGTTAATGGATAATTCTGTCATGGTAGTTAAAAAGGCGTATGTGGTATGAGTCAGCAAGAGAAGGTAACACACATGGAGGACCTGGAAATTCTTCCTTGCTCCTTTCTGCCCATCTTCTGAAGAGTCTGGTTTTGGTTAACCAAATATCAGGTAGTGTTTCAGAGAAACAACCAGCTGGGCTGAGGCACCATAGCTTGTCCCAGGAAGAGAAGGGTTCATTGCTCCACTTGCTGCTAGTGAGGAAGAGCTGGGGCTGGCAGCCAGTTAAGACAGCAAGACAAACTCTGAGAAGGAGAAAGTAGCTTAAGGGAGAAATTGAGCACCACGGAGATCACATGCTTCACTGCCCATCTCAATTATAATTCTGCTTTAAAATATAACTTAATGTTACACTTCTGAAATACAGTGAATATTCTAAGTCAGATCCACTCCTAGAGCCAGCACTGTGACAGAGTCCAAATGATGATTTTTAATCAACTGGAGGCTGAACATGCATGTAGGGAGCACATTTAAGAGAGATGCTGTAATGATCCCAGAAAATTATAAACTTCAATGCAGTTTAGATCTGCATGCTAATGAAGAGATGCCTAGATGGGATTTGGGACAACTCAGCTCAAAAGAAATAAAAAATGTCAATTTATTGCAGTGTAGAGTTTTGTTATCCAATTACACAGAGTATTAAAGCATCTCATCATTATTAAAGCATTTTTGTCACTTATCTTGTATAGATTTTTGTCTAAATTTAACCCTAACTCTTTCTGCTTTATGGTAATTCTCCTGGGAGTAATTACTAAATTTCCACAGCAGTAATTTGGGAAGCATAAGACCAGGTAACCTCAGCCTTGCTCTCTCCATCATAATGAAGATTCTGTCTAGAAATGTACCTTTTCTCCTTCACATTATTTAAAATATGACACATGATCAATAACATGAAACTTCAAGAAACTTTCTTATATGATAATTCTATTGATTTTTAAAAGAAATAATTAAACTAACTGTTAAGACCAAGTTCATCAATACAATCTGACTCCTTTGTTTCCCCCTCCTGAGTAGGACAAATCGATCAGGACCTGCTGGTTAACCAGTTTCCTGAAGCTTTTGCACCATACTGACAACACACTGCACAGCCATTTTACACCCTGCTGTTCTCTGCTTGCTCTTGCATCCACCTGTACGCATCCCCACAGCTCCAGATCACACTCTTTCCCTGAATCTTCCCCACTGCATTGTATATTCCCCCAAACCTCCACCTTCATTTTCTTTTACATGCTCCCTCAATTTGCCTCTTCCTACACCACCAGGCTCCTTTGCAGAATTCAATTATAGGAAAGACATACTGTATTCTTCACAGATAACAGAATGCCAAATTGCATAAAATGACAAATTTCTTTCCACTTGGACGACAGAAGCATACCTGCAAATTAGCACCTCTGCTCAGACCATATGTTAACAACAGGATTTTACTACTAACTAGTTCTCTGCAAGGCAAAGCAGTCCCCTGGTAGAAGTTGAAATGGCAATGACAAAAGCCTCCCGGGCTTCCTCTGAAAGCAAAGCAGCTTTTCCATAGGGGTGACTGGCTTTCATTTTCTCTTAATTCTGATACCCTTAAGACCAGTTGCAATAAAATCTCTCCCCAAGTGAACTTGCATATACCTCAGCTCCCCTTTCGCTTCCAGTGATCGCACCAACGCCCTCATGAAGCAGCTGGTGACTTGTACTGCCACCAAGAGCTGCTCCTGCACCCAAGTGGTTAGAGCGAGGAATCTCTTCTACGGCAGAGAGACTAAAACTGGCAGTATGGGATTGGCTAGTGAGGAGGTACACACGGGTACCTGCTGCTGGAGAAGGGATTCTTTACAGTTTCTTGATGAAGGTCATGTAAAATGTGCATGGATTTGGTTGTATTCAAGGGACACTGCAGCATATGTGTAGGTTCCAGATGATACTCTGGTTATCCACCTCTGCAATGACTGAGAAAAAGCCTTCAAAAAATGCAGGTTGATAAGACTCAAATTTAATACACTCTGCAAAATGCACTCTTCTTTACCATGACAATGGAACAACAGATCCAAAACATTAGCAGCAGCTTATGCTGCAGAAATGGCTGAGTGCTGTGCCAGAACTACAGAATGTGGAGCAATGCACAGCAAATCAGATATATGTGGCACAGTAGGGCACAACAGCCCTAGCAAATCCATTACTCCCCACTCAGCAGTCATAAACACTTCTTTACCGGCAGAAACTTTCGTCCATAACATTCCTAAGATCTAATGGTGTCTGCAAGTTGCAAGATATTTCTGAGAGGAGTGGGAACTAGTGCGTGCCTCCATTTGACAATGTTATTTCAAATTCAAGACAGGTCACAGATAATTTATAAATGTCCCTGGAAAATAATACTCTTTCTGGAGGTGTTTCTATCTATTCAGTAGCCATGTATCTTGATGGCTTAACAAACTACTTTCTACAAATTGTTTTATTTTAAAAATAAGTTTCAAATATGCATTTCAAAGTGTTATTTATAGTAGGTACAATTATTAACTTGGCTAGTTCACGGGCAGACGTGCAGACCAGCACACACATGTAGCTCTCAGTTAATGTTATTTTAAGTCTCTCACATAATTCCAAAAGCCAATTTTTGTCTCAGTTCACATGGCTCCAACAGGTGTAATTGAAACCACAAATGTGTTACAGACCAGAACCACATCAAAAGTATTCATCAGTTCTGTACCCACACTTAACATGCCTTCCTGCTAACAATTTATACTGTATGTACCACCGTAATGCATGAGCACCAAGCAGATTCCATTAGCGGATTCCCTTAACCAGGTGAAACTTGATATACTATACTCTGTAAAAGCAGTTACTTTTCATCATGTTTGAAAAACAAAATTATAGCATGTCTTGGCTGCCCTTCAAGTGTCCAATTCAAACCCCAGTGCATGCACCCAGCTTCCACTAAAAGCAATGACAGA